CGTCGGCGTGCGTATGACGGCTTCGTCTTGTAGTCCTTGACAACCGTCACCTAGCAGCATCGATCCCCATATTCTTCAACTACGAATTTTTTTTCCCTGATAAATCTTTTAGCGCTTCTTTTATATCTTCCTTCTCCCAGTCACCAACATTGCGGCCAGCATTCATTCAGAATCGAACGATGAGTCGATGCCCCAAAGTTCGGGGCAAGTCAAGACTACCAAACAGCTCTCGGGACTCCGGGTACCTTTCTGACGACTCGCCCGAAGACTATGTTTGGAATATTGAGAATGAGACACCGCCCAGGAGGGGACGCCTTCTGGATCGCACCAACTATCACCTGTCTGTAGACGGCTCAGCAGCTGGAGACAGAGGTTCGGAAGATGACAAGAGCACGCACGTGTCACCGTCAACTATACGACGACCGAAGTTGGGCTCTGTGTCTCCCAATCACCCGAGCTCGCCTTCAGTAACGCCCTCCAAAAGGCCACGGGTTTGTAACAGCTCATCGCCCCGCAGCGTTGGCTCTCTGCACAGTCCGGACCGTTTCGTTCCTCGCCGAGACCCTGCCACGCCGTCCTCCGAAAAGATCCGGGTCACCAAAGATCTCGACTCTTTTTCGCCAACAGAGAGATTGTTGAGGCATCAAAGTGCCACGTCGGATCCCTTCCAGAGGCCACAACAACGTGTTGTTGCTTTAGCATCCAACTTTCGATCCACATCAAACTCGATCTACCCAAGTAAGGTGCAAAAACGGCCGACTCTTCAAGATACTAACAACGAATAGTTCCCACGGCTCTGTCTGTCATTCCACAGAGCCAAAACCAGAGGCCGGATGGCCACGGCACAGTCTGGACCGTTGGAGGTCCGGCCCCTCCTCCTGGAACCGCCGTAGATGATGGCCGTGGTCACTATCTTGAGAGTGGCACGAACGCGCGGTTGTTCACTACCAATTTCGCCACTTCTCGTGTCAAACGAAGAGAGGACTATGAGCGAAACCAAGGGATCGTCGCCGATGCTTTGCAAATCAACCAGGTTGAGAGACTGCTCGATTTTGAGCATCCGGTCCCCTCGCTGAGTCGAACATTGACACAAAAGAGCCAGCAAGCACAGCTAGAATCAAGAACGCACTGGACCGGAACAAAATGGGCAAGCCCAGAGAAGAATAACGGCAAGTGTTTTCCTGCCCACGCGTGCATTTTGCCTTGCTGACGTTTTATTGCCGCATGCAGTTACACGGCCAGTGCAGCACAATCTACCCACCACGTCTTACAAAGTACTTGACGCACCTGGGCTCCGAGATGACTACTACTGCTCTGTGCTGGCGTACTCACCAACTTGTGCTTCTCTGGCTGTCGGGTTAGGCAGCGCCTTATACGGATGGACAGAGCAATTTGGCGCAGTTCCCATCGACTTTTTCCATCACAAAGGCTGGGTCACTTCGTTGTCCTTTTCCTCCGTGGGAGGGAGCAAAGCCATCCTCGCTATCGGGAGAGCTGGCGGTCAAATAACTCTGATATCCCTATTCGAGAGTCTACCGCGCATGTCGCTCAGGCAACAAACCTCAGTCAGCTGTGTCAGCTAGCGGCCAACAGTAACAATGAGACCGTCCAAGAACCCAAACGGTTCTAGTGGCCTTGTGCCCACGGAAGACCTTCTCGTCAGTAACGAACAAGGCCAGATCTGTTACTACGTTGTTGAGTGGCCACATACGTGGGAAGTAGGCCGAGACTCTTGGGGTGGCACGGCAACACTGGTGGCGACTATTGCAGTTCATACTCAGCAGATATGCGGTCTTGTTTGGGCACCGAGTGGCCGTGAATTTGTCTCTGGTTCCAATGATAACATGGCATGCTACTTCGAGATTGAGAAGATGCTGAAAACACGCAAGCGCAGCAGCAGCACATCATCCAACGAGACCGTCCGCCGAGGTCGAAGATCAGAAGTCCGCTCGAGGTCTCCAGAAATCGCCGGCAGCAGCTCCGAAAGCAGGTTTTCTTGGTTACCCAAGAGCTTGGAGTCGTTTCTTTACGGCACATCTGCGAGCGAAGCCATGGCGGAGCCAGACGTCCGAGGCAACGGCGGCCACCTTGTTCAAGGTCAGGCAGATGAACAGACCACCTTTATTCGCGGATCAGAGAAGCATTGCTAGAGGCATGACGCCGCAGTCAAGGCAATCGCCTTTTGTCCCTGGCAAGAGACTCTCATCGCTACGGGGGGCGGATCGAGCGACAAGTGCATTCACTTTTGGCACACGGGAACAGGCACCGCCTTGGCTACCATTGCCGTATCGGCACAGGTGACATCGTTGATCTGGTCCACGACACGACCCGAGATTGTGGCTACGTTTGGGTACGCAACACCGGATCACCCTTATCGAATCGCTGTATTCAGTTGGCCATCGTGCGAACAGATTGGCGCTGTTGCGTTGGACAATGGTGCTCGTGTCCTGTATGCCATTCCGTACCCTGGAGCACCAGCTGATGCAAAAAAGGGAAGTCGGAATGTGAAGGAAGGGAGCATCGTCATGGCTACAAGTGATGAGAACGTCAAGTTTCACGATGTTTGGAAAGACACAAAGAACGCCCCGATGGGTGGTGTTGGGGTGTTGAGTGGCAGCGATATACTCGAAGGACTGGACGGTATTTTCAAGGAGGGGGCCGTCATTCGTTAGTGCTTGTGAAGGAGTGAAGGAGTTGAGAGTAGACGCATTGATAGAATGAGACAATATGCCTCCTAACAGAGTTGCCTTGTGATGGACAAGTTGGCTTTCCGTGTTTATTCCGAGACGGAACAGGACAATTCGACGTCCGCTTGTTGAAGTTCAAAGCCAACGTCAAGGCGGAGATGCGAAGTAACGATCATTGCAGCACCATTGCTGGAGCAGGCGCGGATGACGAAGAGGACAACTTACCAACATCTCATGGCTATGAATAAACGCAACACGTACACAAATCAGTGACAAGGCAGAAGTGAGCAGATGAAAAGACGGAAGAAGTTGGAGCAGTGATACATCTGTAAGCATGTGTGAGTCTAGACCGTGCCCAGAGCGGGAGTAGTGGAAGCTCCAGGCCCCATTTCATGGGTACCTACCTACCTTACAGCTACCTACCTTAAGCCCGACGACCTCAACCCACCAGAAGCGTTACCCCGGGCGCCCCAGGCACCCTAAATCCGCAGGCGGGCGACTGCATCCCTGTAAATGGCAGGAACCGCAAGGCCGCTGCCTGCACCGCAAACGTAATCCGACCTGCTGGGCGCCGGGCGGACTGTCCTCCACATGGCCTCTCAGCGCTTGGTGTCTCAACCCCCGTCCCCGTTCAGGCGTCGCCTGCATGAACACCTCCAGAACCCCGAATCTTCAACACATCCGCTCTACCCACGTCCGAGTCGTGTTTCGCCGTCCAGATTGAAAGCAAGTACGCATCATCGAGTGTTGGAGTCGCACAATTGGCATCGAAGCCGATTTCTTTGTTTCCTTCTTTTCCCTTTAGACTATATACCGAGGGCACAGGCACACAGCGGCAACCATGTCCAGCCTGAACCAGCTCTATCTCCTCGCCGACCACATCAAGCTCTCCCTCCTCGAGCGCCAGCGCGCCCAGTCGCTCAACCTCGACGCCGACACGCAGGACGGTCACATTTCACGCTCGTTGGACCAGTTCCGCGATGGCCTGGAGTTTCTAGATTCAGAGGTCCAGCGCCTCCAAGGCGCCGGCGATGAGAGGTAACCCTTCCCGTCTTCTCCGACACAGAGAGACCCCCATATCTCCAAAACGTCAAGCGACGTCATGTTCCGGACCTTCTCCACCGACATCACCATCAGCAAAAAAGAAACATGCGCTGACCAGAGATGCGATCCAATGCAGCGCCGCTCAGAACATCACCGACTCCCTCCCCGCCCTGCAAAAGCAGTTCTCGGACCTCACATCCCAGTTCCACGGCTTCTCGAACCCGTCCACCTCGTCAACGACCACGTCCCCGAACGACCCGTCCCTCTCCCCCGATTTCGCCGCCGCTCAGTCCACGAAACCGCTCAAGGGCTCTCTCCGCGGCCTCCCCGCCGGCGGCTCCGCGAACAAAACGGTACGCTTCACCGACTCGCCCACCGCCGCGGAGGACCCCAATGCGGCCGCCCTCTTCGGCGAGGGCCGCTACCGCGACGACCCGACGGACTCGGCGGGGTACCGCGACCAGGCCGAGGGCATGGACAACCAGCAGATCCACGAGTACCACTCGCAAATCATGCGCGACCAGGACGATCACCTCGACCGGCTGGGCGAGTCTATCGGGCGCCAGCGGGAGCTGAGCATGCAGATCGGCGACGAGCTGGATTCGCACGTCGCGATGCTGGACGAGGTCGACGGCGTCGTGGACCGGCACCAGGGACGCCTGGACCGCGCGAGGCGGCAGCTGGGTAAGGTCGCGAGGGACGCGGGGGAGAGCAAGCAGATGATTGCCATCATTGTGCTCATCATCATCTTGGTTCTGTTGATTGCTATCCTGAAATGAGCTTGAGGGCCCTCATGAAAAAGGTCTGGCGGGTTTTTTGGGGTCGTTGAGTTGAGGGTCAGGCATTATGTTCTGGCCATCATTGGTTTTCTTGTCTTTGATTCCGAGGCGCATAGCATGGTTTGGCGTTTGGGGAGTCTTACTACTTTGTAAAATCTTTCGTTACTCGGGATGACACCTAATGGCATACAACTCTTGATCATGGGTTCTTCAGCTGTATCATTTCATAAGACGGTGGGCGCCCTCTTACTTGGCTACTCAAAAAAGGTGAATGACGGTCGGTAGGGGGCATGCTGTTGTGTTGCCGTCATGGCGGCACGATAAATGTCGCCCGTTCAACTCAGCCTCCTCTTGAACAAACGGATACTATCGACTCGCTGGTTTGGCATGGAGGCCCGTGGATGAATTTTGGCGGTGCGACTATTGAGAACATAGGCTAGGATGCGGCTCCCGGATCTCCAACAAACGGAGTTGCTCCGTTAGTTCCACTGGTCTATTAGTCTAGTTGGTTAGGACGTCGGATTCTGATTCGCACCCAGATTCTTCCGTAGGCCCAGGTTCGAATCCTGGATGGACCTAGTTTTTTGCCTTTTGATGTCAATTCACATCACAAACTCGTCAATTTTTCCTGTTGTTATCACTTGGTTTGTTGTTTTTATACTTCATCCGGGTCGGCGCTTAGATTTGACATGGATCGCAAGAGGATGCTAGTCTTAGGTGGCAGTGCTACCCACCCAGCCCCTCCACCAGTAACTCTCAAAAGAACCCTACTCATCTTTGTTAGATCTAAAGAAACTGCTTGTCGTTGTTTTTCCATTTCAACTTCGTCTGTGTCAACTAGTTAAAGCAATGCCGACGACGTCTTCTAAGAAAACGAAATCTTGTGTTCCCGCAACGTCGGGTGATTTGTCACAATCATGTCATGAGTCCCATCCCTCCACCCATCACGCGGTTTTGAAAGTGAGAGCACAAAGCTCACCACGAACAGACCAAAATATCAAGAGTCAAAACTTTGTCCGAAAATATGACTGCTCTTGAGTCCTTTCATGACACAGCCACATCTTGCAATGGGTTGTGTGTCGTGGTCAGAAAAGGATTCAGTTGGCCTTATTAGCCGGCCGGCCTGTCTTCAGGCCAGGCAGCACATATCTGACATTGAATGCTCATGAAGTAGAAAAACCACTTCAATTACAGGAATCCAATCCACTATATAATCTTACAAAAGGTTCATCAGTACTCGACCATAGAACCACACACATACACCCACCATGCGCATCTTCAGAAACCCCCCATCGGGCCTCGACGCAATCCTCGACCGGCCCCCCGAAACATCCTGGGACCGCCTCCTCGCCTCCCCAATCACCACCATCGCACGCTACCTCTCCACCTTTTCCCCCGTCTCCTTCCCGATCGTTCCCCGCGCAGACGACGCCGTGACGGTGGTCTGCATCTCCGACACGCACAACACGCGGCCGCGCCTGCCGCCGGGCGACATCCTCGTCCACGCGGGCGACCTCACCGTCTCGGGGACGCGGGCCGAGCTAAAGGAGACGGTGGACTGGATCAAGGCGCAGGAGCATAGGTTCAAGGTCGTGGTGGCGGGGAACCATGACCTGTGTCTTGACGAGAGGTTGAAAGAAGGGGAAGAGGAGGGTGGGGTGGATTGGGGAGATGTGGTGTACCTCGACTGCGCGTCCGCCACGCTCAAAGTGCCGGTAGGCGGCGACGGGGACAAGACGAGAGACATCAGAGTGTACGGCAGCCCGTACACGCCGCAGCACGGGAACTGGGCGTTCCAGTATCCCCGGTCCGGGCCGCTGGATCCGTGGGCGGGGACGGTTCCCGCGGGGACGGATGTATTGGTCACGCATGCGCCGCCGAAGGGGCACATGGACGATCCGCGGGGGAACTGGGGGTGCGAGATGCTATTGAGGGAGTTGTGGAGGGTGAGGCCCAGGTTGCATGTCTTCGGGCACGTTCATTGCGGGCACGGGGTTGAGGCTGTTGGGTTTGATGAGGTTCAGGGGGCGTGGGAGGATGTTGTTTTTGATGTGTCCAAGGGGAGTAGGGGATTCATGGCGTTTGCGAGGATGGTGAGGGCGTGTATTGGCGTTTGGTGGAGGGGCGGTAGGAGGGGGAGAGGGGAGACGGTGCTTGTGAATGCGGCTGTTGTGGGTGGGCTTGGGGATAGGTTGGTTCGGGAGGCTGCTGTTGTGAGGATATAGAGTCGACATTATTTGAGATAGAGTCATTTGATAGACAAAAAGGCAACTGGGATCAATGGTTTTGCGCAGTATTCGAGTCGTATCTGCAAGTTAGGGGCCAAATCGACCGCTAATGGGCAACTTGCATCACAAGGAAGGGTGGGTTTACAGTCCTAGAAATACTATAAAGACTCTTTCATCTTCTGCGTACACAGAGTAACAACAAACGCAATACCGGTGAAGCCGCTATCGCTGTTCCAGAAAAGACCCGTTCATATGGATTCAGCATAGGGTGGGCAGGCGTGCGCCCTTCTATATATGCCAAACCCAGAGGCAAACTTTGTGGCTCTCTCTGGCATCCCCATCGTTCCTCATGTGTTGCGTTGCTTCACGCGTAACATATCTCACAAGGCTACAATCAAGGGCCCCTGCATAAGCGCTGTCGATACACCATGATCAAATTGAACATAAATTCATCTACTCTCAAGCTTGAAGAACTCTTCGCAAAGTAAAGGACACTTATGCAGTTGAGATGAATGGATAGCATCACAGATTTATAGCTGTTCTGATATTTCCAGGCTAAAGTTTGACAAATGTAAGTCCTTCTAGCCCCTGTGCTAAGCTATAGAGACAGCAGACGCGAATTGAATGAAGCTCTCAAACACAGCTTTCTTCGGCAATGAAAGGCTCCAATAGCGGATCTAGAAGTCAGATGACTACAGGAAAGCATAGTTTGCTCCGTTTCAATATGAACGGTGGGCATGTATACCGTTCAAATACGTAGACAATTCCGACAGTGGCGGAGGATGGTTTCGTACAATACGATAAATAGCTCTTGTGGATTGTGGATGCATGCACCGATGATTCGTCCATGTTTGAGATCTTTTTCTGGATACAAAGACTAGCCCAAGCAAGGAAATTGCTTTCCGGTGTTGGTATTGTCTGGTTCGTCCATTTCAAATGACACAAATAGAACTGTCAAGAACCTTCCAGCTTGGTAGTCCAGAGACACAAAATTGACCTCGTCAAGAACGAATCGGGCTTGTTGGGTCATAATAAAAAAAAGAACTTCAAGCAAAGCCGGTTGTAATCGACCACAAATGAGCTCCTGGTCAATCCATGAATGCTACATTCACTAGCAGAATCGCGTCTCCGATGTTAGTACTGCGCTGCAAGTTGTGATGCTGAACCCAGACGGCAGGCTTGGTTTCAGTGGGCTCTCTTGTCCTCGGTTCCATCCATAGAATACTCCACAAACAGTAGCGAGAACGCTAACTTATTCAACTGAGAGAAGTCTTAATGTTGCGAATGGGGCATGTTGCCGTCGGCGATTATGAAAATGGCAGAGTGTAGCAAGCCGTGGAGACACATGCGATTGTCTCCTTGAGTTCTAATGACAAATCCTGGCAAGATATAGTTTCTCGAAAAGGAGTTTACTCCACACATCAGACAACAGCAGTGAAGGTTTAGAGAAGCAATGACAGACCGCATATCTGGATCATCTGCTCTCATTCCGGGAAGAACATGCAGAGACCAGCTGAGAAGTCTTTTTGTGATATCGACCGCTCACGATAATGGGCCAACTAAGTCGAGCAGAGTACACGGAATTGCATGGAGATGTTAAGACAACACAACATCGGTCGCTCTATTTAAGAAATCGAGATCAGGAAGTCTCACACTTTCTCAATCAAATCAAACTTATGATCTCCGTGGAGTTCTCTTTAAGTTCGACGCACCAGCACAACTAAGAGCAGTCTATCCCTCGCTGTCTAAACATAGATTTGGAATCATCAGCTTACTTCTCTGCAGCTATATTCGGACATGAATAGTTTGACAGAGAAGACGAGGTACAACTCTTTTCCCTATGCGGATGGTGGGTAGACCAATACCGCCTAATGAGCATGATGATACCGCTCTCAGTCATCGACCGAGGCTCACACCCAAAAGCCGCTAAGATCCCCTGCAAGAGCCATTTTGTGCTCTCGAGAATGCAATTTCAGGACTTGACGGCATATTTATAAGGTTAACTGAGGACGTCGCTGTCTCTCGAAACACTGGCAGTGAGTCTCACCAAGCTCAGAGAGACGACATGACAACGCTCTAGGTCGCGTCTTTAAAAGCCCACAGTAACCTCCAACTCGTGGGCTTCTCAGGAATTATTTTGATACGCTATCATCACTAGATGCAGAGAGGAGCAAACTTAGCTTCATAACTAGAGCAGTATATCCATTCATAACTAGAGCAGTATATCCATTCATAACTAGAGCAGTATATCCATTCATAACTAGAGCAGTATATCCATTCATAACTAGAGCAGTATATCCATTCATCACTCCAAAGACGGCCATCGCAGCAGGAAAAGGAACGAGTCTACAGCGGTTATTGCTTGCCATCTTGGTCCTCGGAGTATTGTGTATAATCAACAACAGCTAGAGACGATCTCGGAGTAACGTATCGTCTAAAATTATTAGAAATCAACGAGCACAAACAACACGTTGTCAGGGTCGTAAATCTTGGCCTAGTATGGAAGGTACTCGAAGAGCGGGATTCATCATTGCTGAGAATTCTTTCGCCGCCGTCTCATTTTATAGACCATTACTAGATCCCTCTTGGTGGCTTTATAAGCTAAATCCATGTCCAGTATCAAGTTTCCTCAGCAAAATCAAGACTTCCTCTTAGTTGCGGCTTTCAACATAGAGTAGGTAGGCATATCCCATCGAGCGAGAAGTCAGCAATGTAATCCGAATGATCCAAAGACAACACGAAACCAACCTCTGTCGACGCTAATCATCCTTCCCCAAGTATTCGCGTGGAGGCTTCAAATCATACAGTCAAAAGCGTAGTCGCATGGGCATAACATAGCCCTTCAGATGGCGAGGGCTGGATGGCGATAGCCTGTCCTCGTGCCATGTCCGTTCCCGCGATTTCGTTGAAACGCATTGGTTTGCTCATCTTCATCGTCTCCCGATGTCACTTGAATACTTATACCCGCCACTGGGACTCACGAACGTGCTCGTCCGGAAGGCGCACCCGGCACCCCATATAGGGGATTATCTAAGCAGCGCCATGCTCAAGGCTCTAGGCCAGCGACCAAAAGATTCGGGGTGCCAGCCTACCGGAGTTCGCTGTGTGGAAAACAAAAACTCTGCTAAGGACAAGGGTAGACGAGCCTGGAGTTGACCTCTACATGGATAGCGGATCTTCGTCGCTGGCCTTGACCCCCCTCGCTCTGCTATTCGCCTAGGAATATCCCACGACACTTGAGGCGAGAGACTAGAATCCTCCGGAGGTTGAACTTGCTGCATCGGGCTTGTGAAAGCGTCTGTATCTGCGGCCATGCTAGGTCGAGACCAAAGAGCACCTGATTTGTGCTG